CCGAGGTCCTTCTAGAAAAAAATTGAGTAATGTTTGTGAGATGACACTTTGAAACTGCGAAAAGAGATTTACCCACCCAAACTGTTGTAATCTTCAATAAGCCTAATGAGCTCATCAGGATCAGTCGGCTTTGCAGGGATTTCAGTCAAGAATGGATGTTTACCATCGTGTTCATGAATTGTTTGGTGCAAGGACTTCTCAGCTTTTGCGATTTCGTCCTAAAATTGACACAACTGAAGCAGAAAGAGAGAAAAACACGGAAAAACCAAATTTTTTGATATTGAAGAAAATTGCTTTTCAAAGTGTAATTTATAAATGTAGAAGCTTATGGCTCACATTTATCTTCTTTTTCACGGAAGGAACCCGCTTAATCAGCGAAAAAAGCGTCCGCATTAGCCTTTTTCTTATTCCTAAATAATTTTAGAGTAACATAAAAAATGTATAAAGAAAATAAGGGGACTTAAACAGAGCTTTCCCCGAAAACTTATGCGTACCTATATCATCTCTATGAAGATTCCATAAATAAATCAAAGAATAGGTGGTTATAGCAGTAGCTGAAGTAAGTAGAAGAGGATTTATTCGTTGAAGCACATCAACCGCTTTGTCATGAGCATGTAAAACAACCTCTTTGGCCGCTTCCATGGCCTAATCTGGATTCGTAAATACATAAATTAAGAAGAAAATCCGCCATTAATGGATAACAAACATCAAATTAAAACTTTAAACTGAGCTGAAGAGGATCGTGTAAGGTAAAGCACCCAAAAAGCAAAATTAGGTGATAAATGTTGCAGAGTGATGAGATCCGTCATTATTTTATTACTGATTGCGTTTTTGGTCAAATGCGCCTGGAAAACTGATAACCCGCCTGTATAGGGTGATAGCAAGGCAATTGCTAGTTATCACAACGGCGAGAAGAACGAAGAAAACTGGATGTGTTCGTGAAAAAAAAGCCAAAGATAAGAGATTTGACTTTTTTCAACAAATGTTTTACAAAATAAAAAAGTAAATTCGAATATTTAGGAAGAGCGCGTCGTGTTTTTTACCCGTTTTTTATATTAGTTTATTCAGAATA